AGACATTATAACAAATAAGCGGTGTAAACGATGCTCTTGCTTTTATTAAAGTTTAAAATTTGAATAATTAATTTATTAATATATAAATAACGAAATTCTAAACAAGGAAATTCTTCAAAAATTATAAATGCCATTTAGTTGGGCTACCCTTTCGTAAGTCCTGTTGCCTTGTATGCCATATATTATTATTAATAATTAGTTAATTACAATTATAATGATAATTATTATTATTAATTATTATTATTGATATAAACAAATAATAATAATAATGCCTATTTAATCCACACAGTACAACGTATAGAATGCCTGATATGTTTAATAGATGCGTGAGCACAATTGGTGTAAGTTCATTCATGTCTTTAAATTGTATGCGTATAAAATCCTTTATTAAATGTATTATATTTTGTATTAAATCCTTTTTTAAAAGAATAAAAAATGCTCAACAAATTACTCAAGTTAGGAAATAATAGATCTACGTGAAACCATTTAATGAAATGCCATACAAAAAATATAAATAAATGAGTGAACGAACGAACGAAAGAATTGAAGAGACAACAAATAAATGAATGTATAAACGAATGAATGAATGAAAGGACGAACGAAGAAATGATTCAGTTTGCAATTAAACTCAAGCTTCTGTACTCTCAACAACCAACTGGCTATCGAACAGACCTATGACAGTATCCAACATGGTTTTAATCTCTAAAATCATATTGCCATTACCGCCATTGTTATTATCTTTATTACGAATATTATTATCATCGTATAAACCATCGACATCATCATAGAAGACGCCATCATCAGCATTATTATTATTATTATTATCATTATTATTATTATAATTAGAGTCAGTATTATGGTTGTTTCCATCCAGAACAATCGTCGTTCTATCGTTATTTGAGTCGCCAATTGAACCGACGTGTCGGTGTTTTCTAGCCCCATTCGAACTGTTAAACAACTCGTTAGAAGCCAGAGTCGTGCCAGTTTTATTACCGAAAAGTTCGCTGGGTGTCATGGGGGTAGGGCCCGGTGTGTCCGCCAGAGAAGTGACGGCTGTTAAGTTGGATGCGTTGGACCCCTTTGAACGTAGCCTGTCACGGGATTTGACCTGTGGGTGTTAACTTTGCCAGCGTTATAATATTATCTTGGTTGTTTATAATTATTTTTGAGCATTTGGGCTAATTATGTTTTCATAGAGAAGAAGAAGGTAGAATAAAGAAATAAAGAAAGAGAGAGAGAGAGAGAGAGAGAGAGAGAGAGAGAGAGAGAGAGAGAAAGAGAAATAATTATATCAAATAATCGCCAATACATACCTTGTTTAATCTGGATTTTCTGCATTAAAAAATATTATTATTAACTACATTTCTAAATGTTAATTTTCAAAAAAACACACAACAGTCACACACAGTCACACAAACAAACACCTACCAAACACACGCACATTTATTTTTTCATTTATTGAATGTTTTCATAATTTTGTAAATGGATATTCTTAATAAATTGCGTTAATAGATTCAGATTCCGTTGGTTTAGTGAAACTATAAAGTAAAAGCAAATTAAAGTATGTGTGTGTGTGTGTGTGTGTGTGTGTGTGTGTGTGTGTGTGTGTGTGTGTGTGTGTGTGTATGTATGTAGTTTGTGTGTATGTAGTGCGTGTGCGTGTGTGTCACTAAATCTACCTGCAACAACAGACAACAAGAACAACGGTTGCAACAAGAGCAAGAACGATCGGAATTGTTACTAGAGGAATCAAGTTATAGTTGCTAGCGTTGTTTGATAGGTTCATGACTGTCTTTGGTGTGTTGTTGTAGCCTTCTGCCGATGTTACGGCAATGTTGTTGTTGATGTGGATGTTGTTTGTAGTAGTTGTTGTCATGTTGTTGTTATTAGTGTTGTTGTTGTTGACGAGGATGTTGTCTGTAGTAGTTGTTGTCATGCTGTTGTTGTTGTTAATGTTATTAGTGTTGTGGTTGTTGTTGATGGTGGTGGTAGTGTGACGGCTTAAAGATGTTGCTGCCGGAATGTTTATTTCTTTTGATGACACTGAGTTTGTTGTTGTTGTTGGTTCAAATTTCGTTGCTGTTGTTGTTGGAGGTCGAGGACAAAACTGATATATTGAGAACTTGTTGCTATAATTATTACTATTATTATTGTTGTTGTTGTTGGGAGTGGTGCAAAACTGGTCACTAACAACCGACCAGTCAATGTTTATTATACACTCTCTGTTGAACTTTTTGCATTTTGCTATGGTCGATAAAGATGGCGATGAGGATGAAGAAAATGGAAAAGAAGGTGATTGAAAAAAAGAAGATGATGATGAAGAAGATGATGATGAAGAAGAAGATGATGATGAAAAAGATGACGATAATGGTGGTGAGGATGAAGCAGAATTTTTTACATCTGACTGGAGTAAGTTGGATGACTTCATTCCATTAAATAAACTAAAATAGCCATCATAAAAATAAAATTTATTATTATTATTACTGTTATTGTTGTTAGTGTTGTTGCAACTACAATCATCCTTATCAGGATAAACTTCGTCAAACATATTTTTTTGGCTTGTGCTGAAGAGCAGCTCCAACGAAGTTTTAAACATCTCTCTGAAATCAACTAACCTTATGTTGTTGGAGTTGATGTTGTTATTATTATTAATACTATTATTGTTGTTATTATTGTTTTCATTGTTGTTGTTGTTGTTGTTGTTGCAGAGATATGTTGTACAGAGTGTTGATAATGATGGCAATGTGGTTGTCGAAGTTGGAAGAGCTGAAGACTTTGGTACGTTCATAATCTCTATCGTTGTTTTTGTTGCTTTACTTGAAATAGTATGTGCGGTAAAAATAGCCGCAGCAGTATTAGTAGTAGTAGTAGCAGTATTAATAGTAGTAGTAGTTGTTATAGTAGTAGTAGCAGCAGCAGAAGTAGCGATAGTAGTAGCGTTTGCAGCAGTAGTAATTGTAATATTAGTAGTAGTAGCAGCAGTAGTAGTTGTAGTATTATTAGTAGTAGCAGCAGTAGTAGTTGTAATCTTGATTCACCAAAATGGTAACTCCAGTGTTTGACGCCGAAGAATTTGCAGGCTTAAAATTTAGAAAATTAATAAAATATTTCATGAGATTTAGTTAAAAAATGTTTAATCAAAGAAATTTTCTAATCTCATTCGAAAAAGAAATATATAGCTTGGGTATCACGCACGGTATGATAGATTAGTGTTTAGTGGATTCCAAGCAATAAAACATAAGCCTATAATGTGTCGTATGTATATATATAAACGAATGTGTGTACGTACGTGTATCTCTATGTTTGTTTGTGTGTTTGTGTGTGTGTGTTTATATATTATTTTATAACGCAAACAAAGATTTTATATATCTTTTCTATCATTGCTAACATTATACTGTAATAATAATAATAATAACAAGAACAACACCAAAACAACTCAATAATAATAGATAAAACCAAAAGAAGATTAATAATAATAAAACAACAAACTCACATGTGAGCAGTGTTAAAATTAAATTTTACGCAGTTATACAATGCGAAACAATATCTGGCTGTCTGTTTGTTTGTATATGTATGTATGTTTGTGTGTATGTATGTTTGTGTGTGTATGTATGTATGTGTGTGTTTATGTATGTGTGTATGTATGTGTGGAAAGATGTCACGATTTACCTGTATGACCAATTAAAAAAGAATACATTATATGAAATTCTTGCATAAGCTTCTATTCGGGTAAAGATAAAGCACTAATAGGCAAGCTAAAGTAGGGAGAGTTACTATCTGATGATTTTGTTAATCGTAATTCTAGATAATTCTAAATTATTCTAGATAGTTCCAGGCAATTCTAGATATTTCTAGGTAGTTCTAGATAATTTTAGGTAATGTTGGACATTCTAAGTAATTCTAGACACGCGATCTTAACCGGAATTTTCTATTGTTATAGCTTTGAATCGGTTCGTTGGTTTATCAGTTACCAGGGCTGGGCAAACTAGCCGTGAAGCTATTCTAAGCTATTTTATGCGGCCCGCTTGTTCCCCCCCAAAAAAGTCGTCAGCCAAACATTATGACCGAAAAATCTTAAATAAAAATTTGCTATTTAAGTACATATTCGGCCTTTTAAAGGTAAAATAGTTCTCAATGCGGCCCTCACAGCAAAAAGTTTGCCCACCCTCGTTTATGGATTTTCGATTTATTAATCAGTTTAGGTGGCCAATCTTTTAATAATTTTTGTTATTCTGCCAGATAATGTCTGTCAATTCGTAAATATCGATCTTGAAGTTTATTAATATTTTTTAAAACCTAATATATTTTTAATTATTAATTTTTGAATAAATAAGTCAAAATAAAAACTTTGTACCGTTTTATCATTATTGTACGCACGCATATTCAGTGGCACATTGAATGAATGTACAACCATCAGCATCTTTCCAACAAATATTTTTCATAAAACCGGATGTTTCCATTTCAAAATTTCCAAAAAATAAAATTCGAAAAAATAACCATGAAAAAATAATCAACGATTCAATTATCACACTATCATTCAATCAATATTCTTTTTATTAACCCCCCCCCCCCCCACACACACACACATGCACGCACGCACACACAAACTCAATTTATAGATAAAATTTTGCAATCAAAATGACAGATTTATAACAAAATTAATATTGTCAAAATAAATCCACCCCGTTTTCGATTCAAAATCATCAAAAAAAAACGAAGCAAAACTGAGCAAACTCTACTGTAAAAATGGAAAAACACCAAAATATGAAACTGGAGCTACTATTCAGAATTACAGAATTAAATTGAATGAAACATTTGCAGAGAAAATAATTAACTAAACAACAAAAAATAGGGAAAAACCATAACATTATCATAACACCGAATTCGAATAAAAATAAATCATATACAAATAGAAGATAATTAAAGAAAGAATTAATAAGTCAACTAATTTGTAATATTCAAATTATGATGATGACAAAATAGGCATGTACTAAATCCTACAAGCCAACAACACATCATCAGCATTGTGATGAGTGATCGTTTGTTAAGATCAGTTAGATATATAGGTAGATTTCATAACTTGAACTTTAATATTAATTATTAACATTATTATGATGACGTCATAATTAACGACAATAATAACAATAATTATTATTATTATCATCAAATAATAATAAAATTATAACCGTTAAGTATCTACCTTCCAAATTAAAAAAACGCGTAAAAAAATTGAATGAATGACGAATAAAAAAAAGGTTAAGTTAAGAATATAATTTAACAAATACATTGCAATGAATGGACATTGATTTATAAATTAACAAACATGTTTTAAGATAAAAAAAAGCTATTTAATGAACATAAACAAAAAAGCATCGTGTTAATGTTAATTGTTAACTCGTTTCAATCAGCCAGTCACCAAACAATCAGTCAATCAATCAATAATTAACCAATGGATTAATCAATCAATCAATCTTCGTTTAGCGAATCCATCAATCAATTAACTCACAAATTATTCAATCAGTTGATCAATCAATTCCTCAAACTTTCTTCTTCATCTTTTTCGTCATCATCTCGAGCACTCTGAAATTCAATCAACAAAACCCAAAAAACCAACCGATAACACGTCTCTAAACAATAATAACTCATAGCAGCAGCAACTAAGAAAGCTGTCAACTGCTTCACAGCTTGAAGACTTCCTTAGCTTTATCAGCAACGACTTTAGCGATGGCAAGCGACGAAGTGGCGGCAGGCGATGGTGCGTTTCTGACGTGCAACATGCGGCTTCCGATGCTTCCTGTGCCACTATCGAACACGAAGTCGTCCACGAGTTTGCCCGACGTGTCCAATGCTTGGGCTCTAACACCTGATGGCCCTCTGGCGGGTGAAATTTCATTTCTAGATGAGTTTGTGTGTGTGATAGTAAATGTTTGTCTGTCTGTATGTATGCGTGGTTGGGTTTTTTTTACTAAATCAATAATTCAAATCATAATAAGATGGATCATTTGAACGAGTGTTAGGATGGTTCTTAGTTTTTAAGTTTTGGACAGACGTCATTCGAGCTGAATGAGCGCGCAGTAAGAAGCAACAAACGACGCAAGACGGGACACCCCTGCCGTCTCGACCATAAACGCTACCTCTAGCAACACTGTTGATAACTACAACACTCCTAGCAATAAAAGCGAACTAACTTGACGACATCTTCGACCCTCAGTGATGGCACAAACCTCTGAAGCACCTTGACCTGAGCGGCTGTATACACGCCACGATACAACTCGCCAAATGCGTAGTTCAAATTTGAAAAGACCAACTTCCTGAGGCCACTGTTGCAGTTGTTGTGACGTTTTCAAATAAAAATATGACTTTGGACTGAATTAATTCTGATTTAACTTCAACAACATCCATAACTATGAAACCAACAACATCAACAAAAACTTCATACAGACACAAAACAAACTAACGAGAATGCGATAGCATCAAAAAATTCAGTTGGACTAAAATCCAGCAACTTATACCCCTCCCTCTTGAAAGCCAGCACGGCATTCGGGCCTAGCCAGACGTCCCCGTTGATGCGAGGTGTGAAGTGCACCCCAAGGAACGGAAATTTAGGGTCAGGACACTTATTAGTTGATCAGAATTTATAAACAAATGTAAAGTGAGTTTGTTCTTTCTATTAAAATTAATTCATTCGTTAATTCATCCATTCATTCATTCATTTTATTCATTCATTCATCCAGCCGTTCATTCATTCGTACAAAGCAGGCATACGTTAACTCATTTGTTTAACTTATCAATAATTGAAACGTCATTCAAACATAACCTGTTAACTTTATTTAAGTTAAATGAATCTTATTCAGCAAACAACGAATACGTTTTTCAGAAAGATAAACCGCAAAGTATCACAGCAGCCATTCCTATGATTCATTCATCACAAATACAAAATACATATAACACACATGAAAATGAAAATGCACAATTCTAACAAGAACTCAAACACAATACAAAACAGACTCACAAACAAAAGCACACATACACACCATCAAAAACCATCACCAACAGGATAAATATTTCCATTAACGAGATTCCTCTTTTCAGGTTTCAAAAGCAAATACTCCCCACGGAACGGGACTATCTTGGGCACGGGATCACAACCGGATTTCTGAGCTAACTTGTCTGCGTACAGTCCTCCGCATGTTATCACGTACTTCGCTCGAACTGATGACGACAAGCCTACAACGCTCTGCCAGATATGAACACCATCTACCATTGATTAACGCATAAATAGCAGGGCATTTATGTATTAACAATATAATTGAAGTAATCATCTACCATCACCACATCACCATCGTCGAAGACTCACAGTGCTGTGTCCAGTCACGAGAACAGGATAATCAGGGCTATCTTTGGCCTCCTCAAAGTTCGTGACCTCGAAATTCAGTTTGATGGTGCCTCCACTCTTCTCAAAGTTCTTGCCGTAAATGGTCGTCACATAACCCCAATCCACAATGCCAGTGTGGGGAGAGTGAAGGGCTTTGAGGCCCTGCGAAAATGGGTCAAGGTAGGGTCGTGTTAAGATTAAAACAGTGTCAGATTAATGAAGGAGTCTTATTTTAAAGGTCAAATTTAAACAACAAAATAAACAGGCTAATAAAATGTAAGCAGTTACCGACCACGCAGTTTGGTTCAATTTGTTTAATCTCATCGGGACCAACTACCTTGAGGTCAGGGACCTCATTTTTGATGCCTCGATCATGCAGAACATCTAACCTCTTAACCTCCTCTGGATTTGTTGCCACAATGAGCTGGTGCATTCGTCATTATGTGTGTGTGTGTGTTTGTTGGGTGTATAACTAGTGAAATTATAAATGACATTTACATTACATAAGCAATGAAATGTAATTATACATGGTGACAGAACATTCTTATAGAATTTATATAGTCTCAAAACCAAATACCATCCCAATTTTATCAACCATATCAATCACCTTGAAAATATATCTAAACAAAGAAATAAACTTATACAAACAAACCATGATAGCAAACCTCAAAGCTGTAATAAAAAATAACGACACATTTACACACACACCCACACACACACACCTTGCCACACTTTCTATAAGGGATATTATTAGCATCGAGATATTTGTATGAAAGCTTCAATCCTTCGACGCAGAGCTTGGCCTTCAAAGAACCAGGAGTGTAGTAGATGCCAGCATGAATGACCCCACTGTTGTGCCCACTCTGATGGGCAGCTAATGGTTAGTAGTGTAAACAAATTTTTGTTTTGTTAGTTTTACAAAGTTCTTAGCTTATTTATTCTCCATTTGTTTATGTGTTTTCAAATAATATTTTGTGGCAACTCTAATCAATTGTAGTTAATGAATCACTCCATAAATAATAATATAAAAAAGGGATTAACTGTGTTAGTAAACATTTTTTAAACAAATTAAAATAACAGAAAAATTAAACAAAGAACAAAATTGAAATAAAGCTACAGGAAGAAATTTGAATTAATTAAATTAATTAAGTTTGAATTAATTAAATTAAATTCTACTGCCTCACCAATGACACTTTCCTTGTCCACACTGATAAATTTTAGTGATGGGTATCTTTTGATCAGTTCCTGGGCTGTAGCCATTCCAACAATACCAGTACCAACAATACAGACATCATATTCAGGTATACTTCGAATGTTATAATTAAGTCAATTTCTTAAGCTATTTCTACATTATATTATAATTATAAAATATTATATGTACTTTTTTGTAATTTCTATGCCAAGAATTTCTTTAAATTAAATAAACTAATGACATATCCAATCAAATAAAAAGTTATTTATAAAGTTAAAAATAAAGAAAAGATAATGATCATAAATGTAAGAAACAGATTAAAATCATAAATTAAACAAAACAGAGGCAATAGAATTATTGAAATTGTGCTCTCTCTAGACGGAAACTAACTTTGTGGAAAACTGCTTACATTGCGTACTAGTAAAATCATTAGATGCATCTTTTCCTAAAATTAACTTGCAAATTGGACCACTGTGTTTGCAATTCAAGGCCGTCAATTTTGAGACATTGCGAATCATTTTTTCTAGAGTTTGAAGAGAAATTAAGAAATTAGGTAAAAAATGAATTTAAGGCAAAACCGGAGATCTTTCCAGAGCGTTAAGGATATTATAAAAAATAATTTTTAAAACAAGATCAACGACCATGCAAAATTGCAAACAGTAAAAAAAAATATTTTTGTTTTAAGTTTAAAAAAACTGCTGCAAACCTTACAACAAGTACGGGTCTTTGGTTTAACCCAAATTTATTACACCGAAACGAAATGTCAAAAGTTTGTTTGCGTCAAATTCGGATTTTTAGGACCAGATAGATATGCAGCTTTACAGTAACTTTCTACAAAAGTCAAGGCCGCTCTGGTCATAAATTTTAAAAGTTAATTTAAGTAAGAAATTTAATTTATATCTTGACCATTTGTTAGCATGTTTATTCTATGGTCTTATGGGTTTGAACAGATTGTACTTCATGCTATAATCTAAAATGCTTGATACTCTAAATATTTATAACAATTAATTATTTCAAATTCTTAGGACGGTACAAACAACATAAAATATAAATATATGTAAAACAGGTTTATGAGCTTGATTCCAATAAATAAGTAAAGAGCCTTGCCTTTAATTGCTCTGCTGAACACTTAATATTTTTTTAAATTATTTTACATTTATTTTGGGTTTGTCTAACCTAGCTTTTATGCGGATGTAAGTTGTATGGTGTAAGCATGGATATCCATGGGTGTAAGTAATGGATATACAGGTTGTTATTTCAGTTCTTATTCAAAATTTCAATACTCATATTGCTCTTGTTAGCACGTTAACACTTCAAATTTTCTTAGATATCAATATAAGAAGCCACATTTTTAGAAATAAAAATTTATTGTAAAATATCAAATGAATCAAATGAATTTCTGACAAAATTTTTGACAAAGTAACGAAACAGCAAAAAAAACAACTTTCACGCGAATTCAAATTGGACAAACAATTCAAGTCTTTAAAGAAATTAATATTTATAAATAGACATGGAATGGTTTGACGATATCACTTCCATATAATATACCATCGTACAAACATAAACTCTTGCATTTGTATTATAAATGACTGACTCTTAAACAACAAAAATAAATGATCAATTATATAAGTAGAAGCAAAAATAACAACGCCACACTCAGTTTGTATTGGTAATCTAAATGTAGGGCATGGTATTGCATATAGTTAATAAATATAATATAAATAATTACGAATTACAAATGTAGTTCCTTTATTTCACATCTCGCTCTCCTCTCCTCTCTCTCTTTTTCTCTTTCTCTCTATCGCTGGAAACAGCTTTGAAGCATTAAATCGAATGATATGAATGTGTTTATAATTAATAATAATAACAACACTATTTTTATTATTTTTAATAATAATGCGAGTGTTAGTTGTAGTAAAAGTAAAACTTCCTTTATACTAAGCAGGAAATTGGATAGCTATTACTAACAGTTAGTATAGTTGATAGTATTATTATTAACGTCATCGCAATTACGAAAATAGCACGAATGATACTATAGTAGTGTTTGACTACTTATGTGCATGTATTTATTTCAAATTTTTAAAAGTTCGTTTATGAAAAATAAATTATTTATTCATATGTACACACGTTGCTATCAAACCAAATAAAACTGAATATTTTAATACTGGAATTTTAAATTTTTAACGCCCTCAACCCCTTTCATCCAATCAAAAGGAAGAAAGCTAGTGACATTTTCAACTCTCTACTCCAATTGGTTGATGCTCTTGAGTTTCCCCTAGCAACCACCACGTGACTATGTCTCCTTTGCCCTGAATGGTTGAGATTGAGGCAAATCACGTCTAATGATAATGCTATGTTTTGTGGTTTATCATTCAACGTAGTAATTAAATCAAAAAAATTTTTTTCAATTTAATGTCATTTAAAAAAATGAACAAAACGCTGTTTCATAAACAAAAAATAAATATGTCAATAAGTGAAGGTCAAAAATTAGACGACCTTCATAGTGACTGGGCCCCTAAGTTCAAGGACGAATGTTTGGTAGGCATCCAAATGTTCCTTCGTCTGCGGACTCACGTGAATTTTCAGAGCTGGTAATTGATTGGTTGGTTGATTGAATGATTGAATAAATATGATTGGTTGGTGGATTGAATGAATGATTGAATATGGTTGGTTGGTGGGTTGAATGATTGAATGATTGTTTGATTTACTGAAATACAACAGCAATAAACTCACGTAATCCATTTGATTCCATTCTTGAAGCCGTGTTAACAGTATCACCGAACAGGCAGTACCTGGGCATCTTCATTCCCACCACACCAGCACATACGGACCCTTTTGTAGAGGGGTCATTTGTTGGTCGGTCGGCCATTTGAATTGTTTTTTGTTTGATTTGATTGTTCAGTTGATTATTTAGAGATATTTCGTTAATTGATTTATGGCAATTTCAATAAAGTTGTATCAGAAGGAACTTTGAAGAGTTAAATTTTTTTTTTAAACAAAACTTTCATTCGAACGTAATCCCTCATCATATTCATTCAACAGCCTCTTTGTTAACGTAACTCTCATTAAGATAAAACCATGATTGAAATTCTGCACTTCCACACACACACACACCTCACCTGAATGGATACCAATCCTCAAATTCAATTGCGCGTTCGGCCTGTGACGTATTTTGAATGACGTAACGGCAGTCAGCAAGTTCAGAGCCATCCTTGAAATTTCACGTGCGTGTGCAGTTCCGTTCGGCTTGGGCAGACCAGAGACCACCATGTAGGCGTCCCCTATCGTCTCAACCTGAGAGACGGATGGTTGGCTATGAAAATATCTTTGATAGGAAGGTTCTAGAAGGTAATACGCAAGTCTACAGAAAACAACAAACAAATATAAAATACATTACGATATATTTGGTCGAGTTTGAATGAGAAGCAGATCCAAAAAATGTAAATAACATTAAGGAAAGACAGAATTATAGAAATCGAAACGTCACTCAAAGCAAAACTTTTGTTGGATATTATTAACTGCATAGATTGAAAAAATATATGAAGGAAGAATGACAAAATGTTATTACTTTGTAGACGTCAAACTGATCAATAATGCGATCAAACGTTGTATACAAGTCGTTCAGCAGATCAACTATCTGATCAGTTGGTCGTGATGGGATGATGAATATAATGAAGATGATGACGACGACGACGATGAAGATGATGATAAAGATGACGGTGGTGTGATGTTGATGGAAATGATGATGATGGTGTGATGGTGATGATGATGGTTTGATGGTGATGAAGATGACTCATTCCAACCTGCATAGGTGTGCTTTCAGATGACAGGGCAGTGAATCCACAAATATCACTGAAGTAGATGGTCACACTTTCGAATTTTTCAGCTTCGACTGATTGCCCCCTCATTAACTGCATTGCAACTGACCTATATATATATATATATATATATATATATATATATATATATATATTATATATATTATATATATATATATATATATATATATACATTACATGTTTTGCATGCTATAATAATTTTCAAATTTTTATCATCATCGTCATCATCGTCTTTTTTTTCTTTTTAATTTTTTGTAATTAATATAATTATTACTATAATTATTATAACTACTGTATAATAATTATTATTCAATATAATTATTCGTTGTCATTTTACTCATTATTATCATCATCGTCTTACTCGTCATCATCTTACTCGTCATCATCTTAGTGGTCATCATCATTATTCACCTTGGTAACATCATATACAAGAGGTCCTCTGCTTTCCTCTTCTGTTCCAAATAATCAGCAGTCCTTTCTTCAACCAGCGTCTCCAGATTGTTTGCGTACTGCTCCATGCGTGATAGCAGGTTGTCGAGTAAGTTGCCGCTATTATCGCAGCTTCTGAGGCAGTGAAGTTTGTGGTAGTGGTGAGGTGATGTGAGGGAAATGTGGTGCTTTGAAATGGTGTACGCTACGCTCTGCTAGTAAAACTGATAAGGACAAATTTGATGATTGATGAATGAAAAAGTATATGGTAATATCAGTGAAGGAAAAAATGATAGGCGTTATCATAGAAAATTGTGGTTCATTTAATTATCATTCAGTTTATTTCCACAGATTCATGCAACCGACCAACCAAACATTCATTCAACTAACCAACCAGCCAACCTGCCAACTAACCAACCAGCCAACCATTCATCCAACTAACCAACCAACCAACCAACCAACCAGCCAACCATTCATCCAACTAACCAACCAGCCAACCAACCTGCCAACCAACCAACCATCTAACCAACCATCAATCAATCACTCTTTTCAGCAACCCACAACTAGCCACAAACTTGTTAATTCTCTTAATAACGGTTTTTATCGAGTTAAAATCGAATCTATCGTTCGGATCTTCGGCCCAGCACTTCTTCATGAGAGCCACAAGGTCCTCGCCGTAGCAGGCGAAGTCATCGTTGTTGAGTATACTCGGACGGAAGTGTGGCGACTGCTGCTTGTTGACGACGCGTTCGTAGATTTCTTTGTGTGTCATCAGTGTAGTTTTGTTGTCTTTGTTATCATCATCATCATCATCGTCGTCATCATCATCATCATCATCATCATCATCATCCTCGTCGTCGTCGTCATTATCATCCTTACTATCATCATCATCAATCATCGTCGTTGTTGTTAACATTATCGTGTTATTTTTGTTAATCTCATCATCATCATAATCTTCATCTCCATCATTATCATCATCAACGACAACAATATCATTATCATCATCATCAACAACAACAACAACAAAATCATTATTGTCATCATCAACTACAAGAGCAACAATGACGTATTTTTCTCATAGGCCATCAAAAAATCTATTAAAAATTTAATGTACGTACTTAACATTCTTTCATTTATTCAACCATCTATTCATTCATTCATTCATTCATTCATTCATTCATTCATTCATTCATTCATTCATTCATTCATTCATTCATTCATTCATTCATTCATTCATTCATTCATTCATTCATTCATTCATTCATTCATTCATTCATTCATTCATTCATCCATCCATCCATTCATCCATCCATCCATTCATTCATTCATTCATTCATTCATTCATTCATTCATTCATTCATTCATTTATTCATTCATTCATTCATTCATTCATTCATTCATTCATTCATTCATTCATTCATTCATTCATCCATCCATCCATTCATCCATCCATCCATTCATTCATTCATTCATTCATTCATCTATTTATCTTTCTCTCCGTCTATTCATTCTTTCATCTTTCCAACTAACCATCTATCCATCCATCCATCCACATATACGTCATCATCTATAAGGCGGTTAATTTGAAATGTCATTTTCGTAGCCATTATCGTCGTCATCATCGTCATCATCATCATCTCATCATTATCACCAATAGAATTAATGTTCGTGTTATAATAGTCATAATTTATAACTTCAAACACAAACAACATCTAATAAAGTGATTATGATTGTGCTAATGATGATTAAGATGATTATGATAATAATAATATAATTTATTATTATTGTTATTATTTTTATTATTATTATTATTATCATCATCATCGTCATCATCACGATAACTAGACGAATCAATGAAGCCATAAATCCCCGAAAATGCAATCTCGTTTTTAAAATCGATTTATAAGTAAGGTCATCATTATCAATCATTTTTCTCATCATCATCGTCGTCATCATCATCATTATCATTTTAGTAATCTTCATCGTCCTCATCATCATCATCGTCGTCATCTTAATAATCATCATCATCATCCTCATTATCGTCATCATCATAATGATCATCATCATCAACATCGTTATCATCATCATCATTATCGTCATCATCTTAATGATCATCATCACCATCCTCATCATCAGCAGCAGCAGCAGCAAGCACCTCTTGGTTCGTAATTATGACCATCGACCCAGAAAGGCCCATTTCTATATACAATCTCGTGGCAGATGATGGAGAAACTGTATACATCCCCTGAGAATGAGGGTGATGACGATGATGGTGTGGTGGTTGTTGATGATGATGGTGATGGTGGTGATGATAAAAACAACATAGATGACGTCAGAGAGAAACATTCCACTCATAATTTTTGTGGTAGTTTCATTTTTTATTCATCATCTGTTGTTGCAAAGATAATTAAGTGACAATTAAATAGAGTTAAAAATATTGCATCATCATCGTCTTCATCATCATCTTCTTCATAGTCATCATCATCATCATCGTCGTCATCGTCATCCTCAACCTTTTTGCGTTCCTTCAAGCGGGGGCGAATGATGACGTAATAGCTCCGGTGCGGTCCATAATTTAGCTGAAGCGTGTAATTTATCGTGACGTCATTTCATTTAAGTTCACTTTTCACAATCATTTTATTTATTTTTCTTTGCAACTTTATTGGCATACACAACAGCGTTGATATAAACGAGCCCATGTGCTATATTTTATCGTTGTTCAGCATTTACGTACTTACATGTAAAACTTTACAATTACACAACTGAACTTAACAATACAAACAACAATAATCATATTATTAATATTATTATTAAGACTTAGTCATTGTCATCATTGTTATTGTTTATTTCGAAAGGGCATTTAGGACCTTACCTCCAAAAAAGTAAAAAAAATAGAAGAACCCAAACATCTCCAAACATGATAATGAAAATTAAATGATGACAAAGAACTCGAACATCTATAAAAAACGTGGGAGTCGTCCGGATCGTCGCGTTCCTGTAGACACTTTGCGCCATAATCCGTAATTTTCAGGACGAACCTGCTGTCGACCAGACAGTTCGAGCTCTTCAAATTTCCGTGCGATCTCAGCTCGCTGTTGTGTATGTAATTCATTCCCTGGTTTTTGGTTGTAGTTTTCATTACTATCATCATCGTCGTCATCACCAGCAGCTGCTGCATCGTCGTCGTCGTTGTCATAGTCGTCATCATCACAACCACCATCATCATCATCATCATCATCCGACTCACTCTCACGATGTCTTGAATGAGTGAGAACTTAAACATGTGGTCCAATTTTATCTGATCATTTTCCAACACATCCTGAAAAATGAGTAGAATCGTCGTCTCCTTCATCATCATCATCATCATCATCATCATCATCGTCGTCGTCGTCATCGTCATCATCATCATCATCATCTCCCTCGTCATCATCATCATCGTCATCATCAACACAAACTGAAAGACTATGCTAATGTATGGGATTGAAATTACTTCCAGTTTGCTGTTTAAAAGTGACAACATTTGCATAAGCTCCACTTATTGAAAATCATAAACAAACATTTAATTTTAAAGTAACAACATCATCCTCTTCATCCTCATCCTCCTCCTCCTCCTCATTATCATCATCATCACCATTATCTTCATTTTCAGCAGCAACAAAAACAGCAATAGCCAACAGATGAACGAAGAGACGAACGAATGAACGAATGAACAAACAGAAGAAAGGAAAAAATACAAAGAAATGGATGAATGAAATAATAAATAAATAAATAAATAAAGAATGAACGAATGAATGAAAGAAAGAAGAAAAAAGAATTAATGAAAGAACAATAAAATAACAAACAACTGAACGAATAAACAAGCGAACAAACAAACAAACGAACGAACGAATGAATAAATTAATGAATTAATGAATAAATGAATAAATGATGTAATAAATAAATGAATGAATAAATGAACGTAGACCAACTTGTAAACTGCCCTTCTGACAATATTCATAAATGATGCTCTGATGGGGTGCATCAATGCAGATTCCAATGAATCGAACTATGTGGTCGTTCTGTAGATTTCTCATCTGTGTTGTTGTTGATGTTGTTACTGTTGTTGTTGATATTGTTGTTGTTGTTATTGCAGTTGTTGTTGTTGATGTTATTGATGATGTTTTTGTTGTTGTTGATGTAATTCACTCAATTCATTCAAACATTCGTGTGTTGGTTTGTTCAGTCGAGTGAGGTTGTTGTTGTTGTTGCTGCTGCTTGCTGTTGTTGTTGTTGTTGTGTTGTTGATGTGATGGTTTTATATGATGACATTGATGTTGATGCCATTAACGTAACTGATGTTATTACAACTCACCTTTTTGATCTGCAGCAGCAGAGGTTTGTTTATGACGATTGGATGGTTGACTTCTTTTATTGCCACCAGTGTCGCCTGGTGGTGGTGGTGATCACAATGTTGATGGTAGTGGTGACAATGCTGATAATGGTGATGATTACAATGATGATGATGAAGAAGATGATGATGAAGATGATGATAGTGATGATAATAACGACGACGAAAATGACGATAGAATAGATAATGAAAACGAGCAAAAATGGTGATTACAATGATGAAGATGATGATGGGTCGATAATGAAAATGATTAAAAATGAATTTCGATGATTATATACACGAAACATTGGATGGTGAAGCAATAGAATTGAATGTTAGCCAAGTTTTATGAGCCGTGTAGATGGAATTAACTCCCATGCTTATAAACCCACGCAATCATCATTCTCGTCATCCCCATCTTCTTCATCATCTTCATCTTTTCCATCATCATCATTAACATCATCCTCATTATCTTTATCAACATCATCATCCTCATCATCATTACCTTATACGAGCCTGTCTTTATGAAAACTTGTTTGCACGCTATGTTGCTCAGATGATAGGATATGGTGTCGACCGATGTACAACTCTGGGTTGAAGAACGCTGTGTGTGTGTGTGTGTGTGTACGTGTGTGTACGTGCGTACTGCGTGTGTGTATGTACAACATGAAAGTATGTATGTGTGTGTGTGTTTAGTTTTAAAAGTCGAATTTTTACTTAAAACTTTAATTACTAGCTAATGTTTGTTCATAAAAACAAAACAATTAGAATGCAAATTGCCTGGCTAATATTTGCACGCGTATTTCTAATTTGTTGGTTCCTGCATAGACAAGCATGTTTCTCGACATTTCATTACAGTACCTCACTCCAAAGTTGCTCAGTAAAAGTAACTACATTTTTTATTCTCCGATCAATAACATTGCTAACAATAGTAGTGTCACTGTTAGTATCAGTAATATATACTATAGTAAGAAGTAGCAGTAATGGTAGTATTAACAGTAGTAGAAGCAGTAGTGATTGCATGAAATAAATCATATAGTGGCAGCAGTAGTAACTACATCAGCAGCAGCAGTAGTAGTAGTAGTAATTGTTGTTGTTGTAGTACCGACAACGTAATAATAACAATAACGTCAATAATGTTATTAGTAGTAGTAATTTGAGAGGTGTTGATAAAAAAGTGACGTCAAAGCAGAGATTAAGAGCCTTGCCACTATGAACATTGTGAAGATTACTCAATGATTTATGAATCGCAAGGACACTTTTTATACCAGAAACTGGCTACTGCTACCACCACAACCACTACTACAGCTACTGCAACTACTTCCGTTACTATATCTACTACAATCAGCCGCTGCTGTTGTCGTCGTTTAACAAATCAATATCTATTAAATGCTTAATTAATTGTTATTAATTAACAATCTCACTCTTACTAATGTCATCATCAAAACTGAAAATCTATCGCCAACAGTTTTTTACTAATTCATTTAATATTCACTAATAATACGAAAAAGAACGTAAAGTAACAAAAAGAATTAAATCGAATTAAACCCTGACAAGACTGATCCTACTGTTAACCCTTTCCAACTTCCGCTTATCACGTGGTCGGAAGTTGATATCCTCCCATCTAACCCGCCATTTTACTTCGGCCAATTCGGCCTCAAGCTTGTAGTGCCTGGTTGTTGTTGTTGTTGATGTTGTTGTTGATGTTGTTGTTGTTGATATTGTTGTTGATGTTGTTGTTAATGTTGTTGTTGTGTGGTTTATTTTGAATTTTAGCGGTCATAACTTTGATCAGCCAAACATAGCAATATATTTTTAGCAACAGCAAAATCAAATATAATAACGTTCACACATGTGCTTTTGAGAAACATTTTGTTTGTAATTAGCGCTATACAAATTTTCGGATAATAATAATAATACAAAAAACGCACAAACACATACACACGTACAAACATATATAAGTATGCATACGCACACAGCACATACACACAAACACACACAGCACATACGCATATAAACATACACACAACACACACACACATTCACTCACAAACCTGTAAACAAAGAGAGCAACAACGATGAAGATGACCAACAAACACCACAAAACCATGACGGCGATTGCATAAGGCGGAAATGGATCGGGTACCAAACAACCCAAACCTTGATAGCCGCACCTTTTCAAGTTTTTTTTTCATTTTCCCAAAAATTTAACTTCATAATAAGAGAGAGAGAAAGAGAGAGAGAGAGAGAGAGAGAGAGAGAGAGAGAGAAAGAGAGTGAGGGAAAGAGAAAAAAATTTTGAAAACTACATTATTCAAATATTGATTTATTATTTGGACAAATAGAAATACCGTGGTGTATCTGGCGGTGGACTTGTTACCCCCTCGAACAAATGGACTAGCCCAATGTCTCTGTATCTATTCATTACGCCATCGTAATGTCCAACAATCTATAGTATGGATAAGTTATTTATTGATACACGTGTGTGTGTGTTTGTGTGTGTGTGTGGTGTGTGCGTGTGGTGTGTGTGTGTGTTTCCTTACTTCAAACGAGATCGTATGCGTGTTGTAATGAAGGAATGAATAATTGACTTGTTTATCACCGTGTTTGTCGATTGTGACTTTACCTGTCACACCTGTTTGTATGTATGTTTGTTTGTATGTTTGTTTGTATGTTTGTTTGTATGTTGTTTGTATGTTTGTACATCTATATGTATATATGTTTGTTTGTTGTATGTTGTTTTTTTGTATGTTTGTTTGTTTGTATATGTTTGTATATGTATGTTTGCTTGTATATGTT